ACAAAGTGAGACTTGAGCTGCACTGGCATCCAGTTCCTTTCCATAGTAAAACTTTAGAAGTTGTGGTTTTTATGTGCTTGTAATCAGTAAGCTCAGTCTCTTCCTAAACACCTTAGTCTTGATGTGTTTTCTCCATTTAATGATCACTTTTATTGAAACGAGCACAGCTAATTGACTAATCTACCAGATTTGCAACTAATATTCCCACATGATGCAATAACATCTATATAATGCTCATTTGAGAGTTTCATGCCACATGTAATACCATTGTGCAGAGGTGGGGGGTTATAGTGAGGGACTCAATGAAAAAAGTGCTTCAAGTGTGCTACTTTTCATGAATATCTACCAGACATTTCCATTGTTGTACTTGACAATTATAATGCAAAGCATTTACAAAAATGACAGAGAAATGGCCCATATAAGGCCCACTGGTTCATACAGACACATCCATGATCTTATATTTTGCTGCTTCTGCCTGTCACTGGAGGAACTGAGGCGTCTTGAGAAAGATTACAAACTTTGAGACCCTACTGAAACTGTTTAAGGAGCAAAGCTTTGCTGACTCTAGCTGTATGACCATGGCATGTTGCTACACCTCTCTGACACTCAATTTGCCCTCAGTAAAATGAGGAGAAAGCACAGCAACATTTTATGATTACAGGAGGGGCCAAGTGGATAGTCTATACAATTGCCCACCCCAGGGCTCAGCACCAATACTTGTCTTCTGCTTGCATTGGCATAAAACTCAAATAAGTTGTGAGAAAAAGAGGAAAACTTTTAGTTGACAAACAACAAAATGTTATCTGCTTGCTTCAAAATAATGTAAGGGGGCTGGCTGGTTAGCTTAGTTGGTTAGAGCCCAGTGTTGCAACAGCAATGTCAAGGGTTCAGATCCCCATACTGGCCATCCACCACAAAAAAAGTTAAAAATAAAAAGAAATAAATAATGTACACAACTTGTGTCAGGTCCATAGATATTGTATTAGAAGTGTTAATTTTGAGTTGAACATTTGAATTATTTGTAATAAATTCCCTTCAAAACTACACTTTGCTAATTGATTCTCAGAGACTGAGAGACATGCAAGGGCAGATTGTGCCTTAGAATTTATAACAAGCTGATGTAGACAGAAGTAAAATATAGCATACTTTAGTAAAATATGGCAATACTTTAGGAATCAAGATTTAGGTCTCTTGATTCCTAAAGTACCACTCTTTCTAACTAGAGAAGCTGTGGTGGTGAAATGAAAGGTTACTGAATTTGGGGTCAGAAAATCTCAGTTTAAGATTAACCAAGTTCAGGTGCTTTCTATGTATGTGACTTTGCAGAAGTAATATGCCCTCTTATGTACCTCAGTTTCATCACCTGTAAATGGAAATTATGATCTTTCTGAAAGAAAGTGAGCAGAGATGGCGGGTACTGTTCAAGCTTTATTAAAGAAAGAAATCTGCCCAGCTGTGCTCAAAGTGGCAGGAGCCCAGGGCTGCCCTGAAAATGGGGGACAGCACCAGGTGTGGAGGTGGTAGAGTTTATATAGTGCCCCTAGGGCTGGCTGATACCATCAAGGAGGGTCATTATGCTAATGTGGATAGGGTGGAGAACTGCATCCTTGCAGAAGCAAAAGGGGATTCTGTTAAGTCAGGAGGCTTCTCCTAAAGGGAAGCAGGGAGGGGCTGGGCGCTGGAGTAGAAGACGAGACCCAGCCATCCTAAGCTCATTGTGTGCACAGTGGCACTGGTCACATCCAAAATCCATCACTTTCTTGGGGGGCTGTTAAAGTTAAAAGAATTAAGGTATGTGGAAGTGTTAAAAAAAAATTTTGTGGAGAACCAGAGTATCAAGTTTGGAATTCTATCAAAATGAAAAGTTACCAAACAATAACAAACAGCTAGAAGGAAAAGAGTAGGAACTAGGTAGACCTGGGGTTCTAAGTAAAGAACAAAACAGTCCCATCAAGTTGCTGCTGAACTGGACATTATGTTACTGAGTTCAGTATTCAGCTTCCGGAAAGAGGTCTGCTCGGCCTGGCCCACATCAGGTGTTCAGGCCTTCAGCATGGGATGGTGGGCACCTTGACTGAGGTCCCACTGAGATTGTATTTACTGTGAGGTTTCCAAAGAGCAAAAGCAGGATGCTATTGTAAGCAAAGAGGGAGTGGATGCAGGGCAGGCACAATCATCAAGTAGATGCCTCAAGCACTGTGCAAAGGAAAGCATCCTCTGTGTGCTTTTATAATCATTTGATAACAAGTGCAGAAGAGAATATTTTTAAGAATTGGTAATGGCTAATATAACTGGGAATAAAAGGGGAAAATAAGAACAAGAATGGCTTAAAAAATAGCTGTGTTTGTGTATTACTAAAGTTTATCATCAGAAAACATTTACATACTACCCAAATGCCCATTAACAATAGAGTGGGGGGCCGGCCCGGTGGCGCACTGGATAGTGCGCCGCTTGGGAAGCGTGGCGGCGCTCCCGCCCGAGGGTTCAGATCCCACATACAGACCGGTTCCCGCTCACTGGCTGAGCGAGGCGCGGGAGCAACACCGAGGGTTGCAATCCCGTTGCCGGTCCCGGGTCCGGTGCGGGGGCAAAAAAAAAAAAAAAAAAAAAAAAAAACAATAGAGTGGGAAATAAATTGTGGTGTATTCACACAATAGGCTTTACAAAATTAGAATGGACATTCTTTTTTTTTTTATCCTTTTTGAGACCGTCCGCACCGCGCTCAGCCAGTGAGCGCTGTGAGCGTGCCGGTCATCCCTGTATAGGATCCGAACCCGCGGCGGGAGCGCTATTGCGCTCCCAGCGCCGCACTCTCCCGAGTGTGCCACGGGCTCGGCCCAGAATGGACATTCTTAACTACACACACAATATGGAGGAATCTCTTGACCGTAATATTGAGGTAAAGAAGGCAGACACAGAGACTACATACCAGATGATTCCATTTATAAAAGGACGAAAACAGGGCTGGGCTGTTAGCTCAGTTGGTTAAAGTGCAGCTTTGTAACACCAGGGTCAAGGGTTCAGTTCCCCATGCTGGCCAGCTGCCAAAAAAAAAAAAAAAAAAAGTACAAAAACAGGCAAAATTAATGTTTGTTAGAAGTCAGTGATTACAGCCACCAGTGACGGTAAGTGGGATGGGAAAACTGGTCTGCAGACTGGTGCAACATCTGACAAGTATATTTTAATGTTTTCTGTATTAAAGAATATCTGATTTTTTTTTTAAAAGTCACTGATTACCTTGCAGAAGTCAGAATTGTGAGTGGAAGGAAACAGGAGGGGGAATTCTGGGGACTGGTTGTGCTCTTTTCTTCATTATGGGTATTGATTATATGGGTGTGTTCAGTTTCTGAGATTTCATTGAATTATGTGCTGTGATATATAAACTTTTCAGTATGTTGCTTTGCCTCCCACGGATTTGTCACCCCTTTTCCCCTGGGTGATGAAGCCACCAAAGATTACTCAAAGCCCATGTCTTCTGAGAAGTGAGAAGCTCCGAAAAGAGGTTAATCTCCCAGAACACTCAAGAGTGAGGCATTCTTTCCATTTGGGAAATTAACCACAGATTGGGGTTCTCTTCCCACATTTATTCTCCAGACCAGGAAGTTACAAAAAGAGAACATAGGTGGGGTTTTTTCTAAGTACAGTTTAACAAGTTTAACAATAGAAGCTGGTAACATTGAGTAAACAAGCAAGGTGACCTTCTATAATGCAATTTTCAACAAAAGTTTGATTTTAGGAAACATTCTCTTCTTACAGCAATTTGCCGGTATCTTTACATATCAATCTAACCTGTCTGTCTTTGAGCCAGCAGCCTTGCTGTGTTACAATTCTTTATCTTACAACAGAGACTATAGCTTGGGGAAATTTTCCTTTCCTTTGCAAGGTCAATATTTGAAACCGCAAGGCTTTGGAAAACCAGGCCCTGTGAAGTACATTTGCTTTATGCATGCTCCACATCAATATATTTTTTATATTTAGATTTTAAAAAGCTTAACTTTTGACATGTGTTAATACACCTACATAGATATTATTTGCTGAGTAATTAAAGAGGTATCAGATCATGCTAAGGTATATAACCTATCTAGAAGCTCATTTTTACTTCCATGCACATCTAGCCTTCAACACCTTCTATACATAGGTCAAGATTTTCTGTGAATTCTATTGATTATGTTAAGCTTTTATTATGATCATTTTTATTTTTATTTTCTATTTTTGGCAGCTGGCCAGTACAGGGATCAAACTCTGGACCTTGATGTTATCAGCACCACTCTCTAACCATCTGAGCTTAACTGCTCAGCCCCTGATCATTTTAAAATAAACCAGAGAATATATTTCTTGACTCAGAGGGCATTCCTAAAGTGAACATTTTGATTAGATAACTTTCTACATCTGGGGATGACTTTAAAATTGTTTTATAAAGAATTATAATGCATCTAGTATTTTTACTTCCTTGACTTGTTCCTGTGTATTTATCTAACACACAAAACCCACAGAGCAAAAACCTACAAGTATTTTCCAAAAAAAAAAAAAAAAAAAAAGAATGAGGTAAAATAGGATTAAGGAAAGGGAAGAACAATAGGTATCTTTAAATTTTAAGTCACTTTATAGAAATGCTAGTTCATCCACTTTGAATTATTTTGTTTAAAAAAAAAAAAAAAAAAAAAAAAGAAAGAGGTAAAATAGGATTAAGGAAAGGGAAGAACAATAGGTATCTTTAAATTTTAAGTCACTTTATAGAAATGCTAGTTCATCCACTTTGAATTATTTTGTTTAAAAGTATACAAGTGCACATGGTGGGAATGTGTGATCCCAAATAAGTCTTCTTATTGGGCAGGTAAGCAATTCTCTGGGAAGCATGAGATTCAAGTGGACCTATGATTTTGTAGTGTGGCTCATAATGTACAGGTGTCCTTAAATTACAGTTTTCACAAATGAACACGTGGTGGTGGCTCCTTTATACCTCTCCAGGAAGTGATGTGTTGTTGATTTGTTTTGGGTAGATTCTGCCGTTCCTGTATTGCTACCAGTCTAAAGAACAATAAGTGGACCTGTCCTTATTGCCGGGCATATCTTCCTTCAGAAGGAGTTCCAGCAACGGATGTAGCCAAAAGAATGAAATCAGAGTACCAGAATTGCACCGAGTGTGACACCCTGGTATGTGACCCTGCCCATGTTCAAGGTTACCAGCTTAGGTCCCTGAGAAATTACCATTTCATCTATGCTTTTGACCTCATCCTACCCACTTTTTCTTTTTGTTTGTTTGTTTTTGGTGGCTGGCCAGTACAGGTCTACCCACCTTTTCTAGAGTGTTTTATCTCAGCCTTCTTATTCCCTTTCCTCCAATTTCGCATGTATGGGCTGCAAAAGAATGGTCTCCTGAACTCCTACGATAACCTCATTTTTCAATACCAGTGAATAGTTTCATTGTCAAATTCAGTGCCATATTTCTACCTATATTATTGTGCACTCTGCTGTATTTATCTCTATTGATCACGTTCTCCTTGTTGCAGTTTTTCACCTTTGATACTATCCTAGCCTGGTCAGATCATGTGAGGTCTTGGAGGCCTTGTAAAAGATTCCAGATTTTATCCAAAGTGCAATTGTAAGCTATAGAAAGATTGTAAGCTTTGGAATGCCAAGATCGGGTTTATATTCTTAAGATATCACTCTAGCAAATGCATGGAGAGTGGTTTTGAGGGGGCAAAAAAGTGAAATTGGTGAAAACAGGTGGCTGGTATGATAGGTCAGGTAAGGAAGGTGGATTAGGGTGATAGTATTGGATATGGAATAAAAAGTTCTTTCAAGATATATTTAGGAGTTAGAATTGAAGGAAATTGGTAATTGATTGGTTTTGGGGGTGAGTGACAGAAAGTGTCAAAAATGCTTCCCAGACATTTTGACATGATAAAGTGAGGGTGCTAATATGGGGAGCAAATTTAGAGAAGAATTCATAGAGTCAAGTTTTGGATATGCGAAGTTCAAGCTGCCAAGGGGAGGTGCAGGGAGAGTATTTAGACATATCAGTCTAGAGGTCGAAAGAGAGATTATGTACTAAGCACCTGAATTTCTCTAGAGAAAATATTTTTCTTTTGCTACTGGCCAGTATGGGGAACAGAACCCATGATCTTAGTTTTACAAGGTGTGCTCTAACCAACTGAGCTAATCATCCAGCCCTAGAGAAGCTTTCTTGATCGTTTATCTGAACGCCCTGTTATACTTTCTCTTGGCACCCTGTGCTTTCCTTTATACCTCTTACCATCACTTGTAGTTGCACTTTTTTGGTTTTTTTGTTCAATGTCAGTTATACCCATCAGATTGGAGTCCTGTGAAGGTAAAGATTGTGTCCCTAGCACTTTGAAAAGTGACTGGCACATAGTATGTGCTCCATGCATTTTTGACTATCTGTGACTTAATTATCTATTCCTGGCTACCTGATGATAGAATTTATGCATGATCTTTGAAGTTAAATATCCTGGGATGAAACACGAATTTTCATTTACTCTTTTTACTCTTTGTGATTTTGGGCAAGTTATTAATCTTTTTGTTTATCTCTTTGTAAAATGAGGAAAAAGATAATGTTCATGTTATAGGTGGTTGTAAAGGTAAATGATAAATATATATGTGATATCTATATATATGTAACTGGGGACTGGATTTTAGCACAGTGTCTGGAATATGGTAAATGCTCAAAATCAATAGTTTTTTATATTCTTAGTAATAGATTATTGCTCAGTAGACTATCACTTAGTTTGTCATCATATACAATTCAACATGCACAAAATCAAACTCATCATGTTATTCCACCCTCCAGTTCTTTATCCCACCTTAGGTGTCTGTCAGAAACAGGAGCATTCCCTCAGTTTTCCAGGGTGGAAATCCCCATCCTTTTTTCACCTCTCATATCGGATTAGTCCCAAGGACTTTGATTTTTTCTTTGAGATACTTCTTTTTTTATTTTTTTTATTTTTTTGTCCTTTTTGAGACTGGCTGCACCGCACTCAGCCAGTGAGCGCTGTGAGCGCACCGGTCATCCCTATATAGGATCCGAACCCGCGGTGGGAGCGCTGCTGCACTCCCAGCGCCGCACTCTCCCGAGTGCGCCACGGGCTCAGCCCTGAGATACTTCTTATATCTATCTCTTCCTTTCTATATTACTGCTCTTGCCAGAATGCCACCCTATTTCTTCTACAGCCATTTTAGACTCTACCTATTCTTCAGAACCCAGGCCGGATCTCTTTTCCAGTTCCCTGTGTCAAACAATTACCTTGTTTTTCCTTCTACTCACCTACATATCCTTTTTCCTCTATTGCATTATAAGCCCCAGTAGAGCAGGCACAGCAGTTTACGTTTCTTCTACCATCTCTTACAATGTTGTATGTAATTTTGTGTCTAGACTATTAATTTATAGATTCATTTGTCTCCAGATTGCTAATTTTCATGAGGAATGCTTATCTTTGTTGAACAAGGACTACAAAGAGAAAAAAATTTTTATTAGCAGAATTAGTATAGAAATGAGACAACACTAATGTGCAAAGTTGGATGTTAAAAGGTTGTAACACATCTACTTGACAGCTACCTAGACCAACCCTAATTTCGACTCTGAGTTGGATATTTGTAACGCAAGAATTTTGCTTGTACTTTTCCACTTGCTTTTATTTTTGCCTTCTGTTAAACAATTATAACTGTTTCCTTGAGATGGTACATTTCATGTTTGAGGTTTAACTTCCGTAGTTTGGGCAAGATGAAGCAGAGAGGGTTGGCCACTTTACCACAAGCTGTACAAAAAGCTTCCTTTAGCACAAGATCTTATCAGAGTTTCTAATGAAACGTTTAGTAGAATATGTGTTATGTTAGCAACAGATCCCTCATGGTTAGGATCTCTGAATGTATATCTGGAGGAACAAGGGCTCTTTATCCTGCATTGATAAAAATGGACTGCAAGAGCTGTCTTTTATGTTTGTTCTTAATAGGGCCATTAAGTATACTGTGTATTGTGAATTCATGTAATACTACGGGGTATGTTATAAAACCATGGTATTTATATCTTTCCCTAAGGCACAGGGTTTCTTTTAACTTGCTATGTACATTTTTAATGGATAAAATTTATCCATTTATTCTTATCTCTACTTCTTTTCTTTCTGTCTCTTCTTCATTTTTTTCTTCTTTTCTTCCTCTTGCTCTCTTTTTCTTCACCCATTTTTTCTTTTTCACTTCCTTCTTTCCAAACCAACTTATGTAATGGCATGCAAAAAAAGTAAATTTGAATTACCATACATCTTTCCACTTAAAAAATGTATATGATTTTTAAAAGAACCAAGTTCAAGAACTCAACATTTGGGTCTTCTAAGTATAAGGGAAATTTTAAAATATACCACAAGCTGTACAAAAAGCTTCCTTTAGCACAAGATCTTATCAGAGTTTCTAATGAAACATTTAGTAGAATATGTGTTATGTTAGCAACAGATCCCTCGTGGTTAGGATCTCTGAATGTATATCTGGAGGAACAAGGGCTCTTTATCCTGCATTGATAAAAATGGACTGCAAGAGCTGTCTTTTATGTTTGTTCTTAATAGGGCCATTAAGTATACTGTGTATTGTGAATTCATGTAATACTACGGGGTATGTTATAAAACCATGGTATTTATATCTTTCCCTAAGGCACAGGGTTTCTTTTAGCTTGCTATGTACATTTTTAATGGATAAAATTTATCCATTTATTCTTATCTCCACTTCTTTTCTTTCTGTCTCTTCATTTTTTTCTTCTTTTCTGCCTCTTGCTCTCTTTTTCTTCACCCATTTTTTCTTTTTCACTTCCTTCTTTCCAAACCAACTTATGTAATGGCATGCAAAAAAAGTAAATTTGAATTACCATACATCTTTCCACTTAAAAAATGTATATGATTTTTAAAAGAACCAAGTTCAAGAACTCAACATTTGGGTCTTACTAAGTATAAGGGAAATTTTAAAATAGTATTATTTTTGGTAATGCCTTAACTTTGTGGTACTGTTTTCATGAATACGTCCATTTAATCAACTGACCCCACAAAATGACTTTATTTGAAAGTTATAAAGCTGGATCACAGTATTATTTTTGGTAATGCCTTAACTTTGTGGTACTGTTTTCATGAATACGTCCATTTAATAAACTGACCCCACAAAATGACTTTATTTGAAAGTTATAAAGCTGGATCACATAGGACTTCAGTGAGCCCCCTTCAACAGGGAGTTTATTTTGAATTTGCTTTTTGATAGGTTTGCCTCAGTGAAATGAGAGAACATATAAGGACTTGCCAGAAGTACATAGATAAATATGGACCACCACAAGAACTTGGGGAGACAGCAACAAGGTTTGTTTCAGTACAATATAGTTTAATGCTAAATTTGAAATGTCTGTAAAGAATTTAATAGGCTGAAAAATAACATTTTTATTATGAAAATATTTATGTAGTTATGTTTAGGCTTTTAACCATAATAACTGGTATTGGTAATCATTTGTTAATGGAAATCATCATCAAAGAACTTTGCTCTGTCCTTAGACTAGTTTGTATTAAGGAAGATCAAAAAATAGAATGCAGAACTGTTCAATTTCTGCCAGGCTCTGTTTTCTTTTTTTTTTTCTTGGTCCTTTTTGAGACCGGCAGCACCGTGCTCAGCCAGTGAGCGCTGTGAGCACACCGGTCATTCCCTATATAGGATCCGAACCCGTGGCGGGTGCGCTCCCAGCGCCGCACTCTCCCGAGTGCGCCACGGGCTCGGCCCTCTGTTTTCTGACTGATAAATTTCTTCAGCAGATCATGGGTAAGAGGTTATTCATCTTTTGTCTTCTGTCAACACTGCTCAATTCCCCCACTCATTCCCTCTCATTTTCCTTGTTTCTCTTTAGAAGGTAGAAAGCGGTATATATATTGAATACGTATTCTAACAAGACAAGAACAGGCCCAGGGCAGGCGTCCTGACTTTGTCTTTTGGGCGGGTAATCTTATGCGGGGCTGGGGGAAGAATGGAGGTGGCTAATAGGTATAAAAGAGGATATTGGTCATTAACTATTTTTTTCCTTAAAAAAAGGAAACAAATCTAGGTAATCACTATCCTTATGGGAAGGGTAATTTAGCTGGATCAGAGTAATTACAAAGTTTGGAGTCTGTCCCTACTTACCAAATGAAGAAATGATTTGTGTTCTCCTGCATAGGCTGACTGATGGCTTTGAATCCATTAAATCTGCTTATGAATTCATTTACCCATTCATTATGGATGTTATTTTTTTCTTTCTCCTGAAGAAAAATGTTAGTTCTGCCCATTTTAAGAACATATACTTTCTTAACCTGAAAGTTTAAATGATCACCCCATTCCTTTTGTTTTACTAGAAGTTGCCTTGCGAAGGTACCTATTATTATAGAATTTATTTAAAACACGATGTTTTAAATGTTAAATGAGTATTTTAGATGTAAGCACCGTATAGACTCTGTTAGCTTGGCCACAAAGACCAATAGGAAGGAAGGATAACAAATGGGTTGAGAAAATGTGTAGGTTTGATTATAAGTTTGATAAGATTTACGAAAATTTAAAAATATATGAAAGCTAATTTAAATCCTAATTTCTTCTACTGGTTAGAATTAAATAGTAAAGAATTAAAATGATAGAAAATGGGGGGAGTTGTTGATTAATCAGTCTTACAAGGTAGATTAATATTCCATTTATGATAGAAATCTTTGCTTTGTAGAAGAGTTTGCTACATGATTCAAATTTTTAAAATTCTTTATTTTATTTTTATTTTAAAAATTCTTATGCAGGGAGCTTGTCCAGAGTACAAGTCTTGGGCAACAGGAATTTACATTAAACTGAGGCTCAGTTAAATAAATCATGTAAGGTCACACAGCTCGGAAGTAGCAAAGCCAGTATTTGAACACAGTAATGTAACTCCAGGGCTATGTGGTGAATCTGTGTGGTCTATAGCAAGTTCAAGAGAAAAGCTCCACAGCACACAAAGATCCTAATGATCCTAATGACCTAGGGGGTTTGGCACTTTGAATGGCTAGGTAGGAGCTTGATAATGTTTGGGAGCAGGGGAGATTGTCATAGACTTTTCCTATTCAAATTGCTCTGTAGGAGGGACTGGGCTAGGGAGTTGTTTTATGATAGTTCCCCGGGGAGCTAAAGGAAGTTAGAAGAAAGCATTAGGATGGAATAATAATGGCTCCCATTTACTGAGTTCTAAGTGCTTCTTTGTCTCCTCCTAGCAACCCTGTGGAGAAGGTGTTATCCACACAGCCTGAGACCTGACCACTAATATGCAGAGTACTGCTCTGGCTGGATGCACCCCAGGCTCTGGACCATGGCCTTGGGCTGCATTGTAGCAGCAATTTGGGGCAGGCCGGGTTCTGCTCAGTCCATTGGTACTTTCTGCAGAGATCCAGTCCATGTGCTGCTCAGTTTGGCCATCATATTGAAGGTGGCCCATAGAAGCTAAGTCCTCCCTGATTTAGAGATGATCAAGGTTGTTGAAGAAAGCCAATCTAAGGGCAGAAATAAACCAGGAATGCTGGGATAAGATTGCCCGTGGAATTTAGTAGTTAAAATCCTAGGCTTTGGAGGGGATACGCTTTGGTTCAGATCTCAGCAAGTCTATCAACTTCTCTCAGCCTCTGTTTCATCATTTGTGGAATGGGGATGATAGTGGTAAAGATACCTTTTAACAAAGTAGTAGTAAATGAGTCAGGCTTATAAAATAAGTACTCTTTGTCATATTGTGATCACTCCATAAATAAAAGAGGGTGGTGGTGATAGTGGTGGGTTACCACCACTTTCTCAACTATATAAAATCAGCATAAAGGAGATTTCTCAGAGAAAGTGATGTACTCTCACAGTTGGGGAACCGGTTTGTGGGGTGCGGCAGGGNTTATGCAGGGAGCTTGTCCAGAGTACAAGTCTTGGGCAACAGGAATTTACACCTATAATCGAAAGTGAGCAAAAAATTCCAAGCCTCCATATTGTCCCTAAGAATTTAAGGCAGAACTGTCCAATAGAAATACATTGTGGATCACATGTAATTTAAAATTTTCAAGTGGGCACGTTAAAAAAAGTGAAAAGAAACAGATGAAAGTAACTTTTAATATATTTTATTTAAACTAATATGGCCAAAATATTATCATTTGAACATGTAATCAATATGAAAATTATTGAAATATTTTACATTTTTTTCTACATTAGGCCTTCAAAATTCAGTGTACATTTTATACTTCCAGAATATCTGAATTTGGACTAGCCACATTTCAAGTGCCCGATAGACACGTATGGGACAGCACAGATGTCAGGGACAGATACTCCTCATGTACACAAGGATTTAACAAGGTAGTTTTAGGTCAGTTTTCATTCTTCACTGAAACTAATAATGTGAGTTGACACCTCTAGTTGTATATACTGGTGGAGTTGGAAAACAACACCCAATTAGGATGTTACCTGAATTAGGAAAGGGAGGAAGAAAAAGGTGACCCAGGGACAGCTGGGTGCTGTGATCCTCAGTTTTTCAGTTAATGCATGCTCAGATTGCACTACTTTTCCAAAAAAAGTAATTTCCCTGCCCTGTTCCTGTGAAGATACACATTTACATTTCTCATGAGAAAAATGTAAGCACTGGCACCATTATCAGGATAGGAAAAATAATACCAAATCAAGGAAGAACTAGGACTAGCTCCACCTACATTCTGTCTTTTTTTAATCTCCGGTTAAGTGATGACTAGTTGTAAACAATTTTAGTAATATTTGTATTCTATTGCAATTTCCAGGTGCATATGTCCATTTTGTCAGAAGGAATTGGATGAAGACAGCTTGCTGGATCACTGTATTACGCATCACAGATCGGAAAGGAGACCTGTAGTAAGGATTTTTGTTGCTATGCATTTTAGCAATGTTTGAATTCAGAATACATTAGAAAATCCATTTAATAGATTTCTACTTAAAGATAATAAAAAAGGATAATAATTTATGTTAAGCTTATGGTAATTCTGTGACTATTTACAATATGTGAAAGTGTTGAGTTGAAACTGGTAAGAATTACTAATGTGCAATCACTCTTTCTTTTATGAAATTACACATTATCTCTTACAGATAATTATGAGTATAATCAACTAAAAATATCCAAAATGCACAATTAATATCTAATTTTAGTATACCAACCAGGACCATATCCTAAGTTAAAAACATTTTTAAATAATGCAAATAGTGTATTATTATGACATACATTAGAAATGAAACGTAGTCATTCATCTTCATGAATGAATCTGTTTTATTTCATAGTCTCAATATTTATCCAGATGCTTCTATATTCATCATCATTTTCTAGATTCATTGTGAATGCTGCCTTTTTTCTTTTCAACCTGGCATTTTAGTTGTACTTTGCATTGTGGTTTTTATAATTTTCATTTTTGTATAGTTGCGAGGTAAAGCAGAGGG